CCCCCTTTCAGGAGGACCAGCTTAACCTGGGACATGTCCCAAGATGGTGGCCAATCTCTGGAAGGCCTGGGGCTTTCCAGGGATGGCCTGGAGCTAGTCTCAGCCCAAATCAGTGGAGTTTGGCCAAATCTAGACAGAAGAGATCCAGCGGACACAGGTCAGTGCCTTCTACCCAGGAGAGCCACCAGTGGTCCCTGGGGGGTTTCCTCTTTTGGCCCATAAGCTCTAGTTGTTCTCTGAGTCTGATGGCTGAAATCCCCTCCTGTATCTGTTCTTGCACTATACGCCCTGGCCCCTTACAAAGCTTTGCGCCCCAGAACCGCTTTCATTAGTAAGTTCAAGTTCCTATTCCAGTTCTCCAAGCAAGGGTGTTTTGTCTCCCAAGTGACAGTTTTCACATTTACTTTGTGTTTCAGAAGATGATTTTCAGGCTAGTTCCACTGGCCCCTGGGCAGATTCTCCTTGTGTGACACCTGATGTACAGTCACTCTCAGGCCCTTGCCCTTCATTTTATCCTAGCATGTGAGAAAGGTAGCTTGACATCTATTCATGTATTCATCCCACAAGTATTTATTGAGCACCTACTCATTAAAGCTAATCTCAGATTGCGTGCAGTCATTATTCTCAGTTATGCCACAAGGATGGAGTAGGTCCCAAGTGATCTAACCTGAAAAGTCATTTTGAAATCATAATTGCCAGCCGGAAGCTCCCCATGGCGCTGCCTCCCATGGACCAGCGTGGCAGCACCCACATCCCGCTCCCCGCCGACCCTGGGGGAATGCCCACGTATATAAGATGGTTTGACTTCAAAGCGGGCCCTGCAGCGCAGAGTGGGGCGGAGGAACAGAGAGAGTCCTGGGTCTGCAGCCGACAGACTTCTGTTCTTGGCTGCAGCCCCCACCAGCTCGGCGAATTTGGGCGAGTCATTTCACCTCTGTTCCTTCATTTCCTCATTTCTAAAATGGGGATGAGGGCCTGACCCTTCCACCTTTGTACAGTTATTATAAGGATTTCCGTATTTACTTGGGTGAAGCTGCCAGTTTTTTCTGAGCCGTTTTATGGACCAATTGCAGGTGCATTGGCCAGGAAGAATAGTTTGCCTAAATCGGGGCCTTCAGACTGTGTCTTTTGATGTTGCATCCAAGCCTGCACTCAGGGGGGGAGGCAGCAGGAGCCAGCGGGCAGGAGTTGAGGTCACCCCTGCCATAAATCCACTGCCCCTGGTTCCGGATCCACAGTGGACGGACCTGCCTGCAGAACCCTCCCTTCCACTCTAGCTGTGGGGCGTGCCCTGTTGCGGGAGGCAGTGGAAGTGAGAGCCAAGTCACCACCAGCCTTGAAATCAGACTGCTTTGGGTTTGCGTCCCAGCTCTCCACCTTTAACAGCTGTGTGACCTCGGGCAGATTACTTTACCTCTCTGTTTCCGCGGTAAAAACATCGTAGGCATGAAACGACACAGTCCTTGTAAAGAATGGGACCTGGAGAGTGCCAGTTATGAAGGTGGTGATAATCAGTAGGAAACCTGTTAACATGACTGAGCTCCTGGCTTTCCTTGGTCAATAGAAGTAGCATTAAAACAAAATGAACCTAATGTTTGTTAGCCCACATATGCACACACGCTCATGCACACACATTCTTTTCTCTCTCACTGTCCTCCACCCCACCCCACCCCCGCCCTTAATTTAGGTTTTAAAATAGAGACCCTGACACTGGGCTTGTTTAGAAGAGCTCTCTGGGTGAGTAATAAAAAACAAAGGGTTAAGGTTAAGAGCAATAGGTTTTTTGAGGAAGTTTCCTGTAATAGGTTTCCTTTAGATTAGGCCCCCTCGCCCCTTCACTCCTGTTACTTTTTTAAGGGAGATTTTCAAGTGCATTTGAAAAGAAAGGGAAGTGATGGAGACTCCTATAGCTCTGGGCCTTTACATCCACTCCTTATGCCCAGCAGACCTTGACTTAGGGGTGTGCCTGATGTCCTCTGGGGAGCTGGAAGGGAACCCCTCTAAGGAGCTGTGAAGTAATGCAGGCCCGGTGGTGGTCTTGGACAGCCTATTAGGGGGTAGAAAGGCCCACCTATCTAGGTAAGAGGAGGCGGCCTCAGATGGGCCCAGGAGCTGCGCTGAGCTGGGAGGGCCTCGAGCTGGTCTTTGAAGAATTAGAAGGATTTAGATAAGCCGGAAGGGGATGGGCATTCCACTCTGGTTGCCCAGCATCAGGGCCAAAAATGAACAAAGACTTTGGGGAAGGGGGTGCGGGTGGAGGGGGAGGCAGGGCAGTCAGCGTGGAGGGCTCCTGGGGGAGCAGGGGGCAGCTGGTAGAAAGGGGGCGCTGGGCATGGGGCTTGAACCTGCTCTGCAAGCCCTAGGGGTGTCCCTGGAGGAAGGTCTGGGAGTTGGGGAAAGACTCGCCAGAAGCGGGCTTTGTGACACATGGGTGGCGAGTGGCGGGGCGGGAGGGGGGGGAATAGTCAGAATGGCTTGGAGGGTCCGAGGGGCAAGCATAGACCAATAGAGGGGAGTCCCGGTAACTCAGTCTTGAGGTGTGAGAGCCTGGCCACGGCAGTCGTAGAAATAGAAAAGCTGGTGAGGAAAGCTTGAAAGATGACCTGTAGGATTCTGAGGCGAGGGGCCAGAAGATAAGGCAGATGTGGGGCGCAGCCTTTTGGGGACAAGGAGGAGGGTTGGGGTTTGGGACACGTTGAATTCCACAGCAGTGGTGCAGAGCGCTTTTGTTTGTTAGCTTCTGAAGGGAGAGGTCCGCAACAGCTCACGTTTCCACACCCAGAGGCTCCGTGAAGCTGGTGGTGAGCATCCTCAGGAGCTGGGGAAGCAGTGCCACCACTTCCTGGCTGTTTGCAAGGTTCCAGCCGTCGCTGCTCAGGCCGGCATTTCCAGGAACTGGCAGCTGGCTGAAGCCAACTGGTCCCTCCCAGCCTCCACTCCGAGGGTGGGGCCCCAAGGGTGGAGGCCCCTCGGGGCGGGGTGGGGTGGGTCTCCAACGATAGGGCACCCGCCTGGAGAGGCCGTGGCCTCGCACAGCCCTTCTGGATTTGATTATATAACACATCGCAGGAGAAAACAGGGCCAAGGCAGGCAGCGTCAGCCATGTACATAGCAGGATTACACATTAGGGGTGCTTTTCAACCGAGTTGGGGTCGCTGGCCTTTAAAAAAATGAAAACTGTCGGCCTGGGGAGGAGAACCGAGTGCATAACCTTAGTAGGGAAAATGACTAGTGTTCGCTGAAATTGCTTTAAGAAAGATGTGGCAGGCCACTCACTGGGTGTCACTGAACTTGAGAGTTCACCTAAAGGGTATGGGTTTGCACCTCCCCGCCTCCACCCTGCTCTGCTGGGCCCTCTGCAACAGTGGGGGGACTTCACTTGGTTCTTACCTTTGCACCTGTCCTTATTTACATGCAAAATCAATTGCTTCACTTGGTCTTTCCGAAGTACAGGGTGTGGGCAGAATCTTATCTGAAGCCATGTCCTGTTTGGACAAGTTGGACGCCTTGGCAACTCTCCATAGGGTGGAGCAGATGGGTGGAGGCAGGAAAGTAAAATTGGGTGGCTTGTTAGCCCAGAGAGGAGAGAGGGCGGATTGTTTGCTCATGGATCATTATATTTAATCTGAAACTAAATAATTAACTTCTTTCCCATTTACAAAACATTTTGATGCAAACTAACTAATTTATGAGGGGCAAAGATTTAGAAGTGTTCCACGGGATTTTTTTCCTTTCACACCAACAGTACAAGACAGGTAGGAGAAAAATCATCGAGTGACATGAAAGCAAGACGCCTTTCCAGGTAGGTGCCAGCATTCAGCTGTTCTGGAAGGAGGCTCCGACTTAGAAATGTCTACTTCCCTCTGTTGCCCGGCCCCTTGGATTTCTGGCCAGAGCAGCTGCCATTAAATACACAACTCCTTGGAGCTCTTAAAAGAGTTTGCGTACAAAAGTAAAGAAAGAAAAGTTTCTTTGGAGAGGAAGTTTGGGGATGTTACCTGTCCGCCCTGGTCCTCCTCCTGACCAAGAATCTCTCTCACATATATCCACACACACTTACACTCACCCACGCACCATTTTTGTGTGTATGTCTTTATTTTTTCCCTGAAGTTCCTTATGGGAGTGAGAGGTGAGAGGAGGCAGCGTGCTTCCTCCTTTAAAGCCCAGAGGCTGGGGTGGGTTGAAAGGGGGACTTTCAGGTGGCATGCCGGTTTCACCATCCTCTTTTTCTCCTTACCCCTGGCTGAGGTTGGCTCGGAAACAAAAGATGAGCTTTGAAGGAGGCAGGTAGTCTGGAAGCTTAGGGTCAGGCTGGGCTGGAGGAGAAGAATTCAGGGTCCCTTTGAGTGCATTAGACAGGAGAGGAGAAGGGAGAATGTCGGAGCAAATCCTGATAGATCGCCAAGAAGTTTCTTTCAGATACATTCTCTCTCCAGAACCGCCCCCCCATACCCTGCCCCACACCTCCCTCTCTTTCCCTTTCTTCCCCAACCCCCCCCCCCATTCTTCTAAGGAAGGGGCAGTTATTTCAAAGGTGGTTTCTGTAATAAAATGTGCCATAGCTTCAAGACAAGCTGTTTTCAAAGGAGGCTGGCAGCATAACCTCTGAGATTAAGGCCTGTGTGTGTTTCTAAGCCCTGCGGCTCATCTGTATCCTCAGGAAGCAGGGGTCGAGCAGGCCTCGTGGAGGGCTGGAAAGGACTGTGTGAGGGAACTAGATTGCTTGTGAAACTTCATGTAAGTGATTCTCCAAAGCTGCTTCAAACATAAACACACGGTTGTGCATCTTGACAAAAATCTGAGCCTTCTTATGACAGCTGAAAAGTCAGAAGTATAAGTAGAGTGTGAGGGAAAATCTGTTTCTTCCTTTTGAAGGAAAATTATTCCCTATTGGCCCTTCCCAGTAAAATAACAGTTGGGGAAGAAGACGTTTGTTCCGTGATGGAAAATTATTTTCGCGATGGTGATGTTCGTATATTTTTGCTTTTAGGCACTTTGATAACTTAGACTTTTTTTTTTTTAAACCTGTTTATCCTGTTTTTTTTTCCCTCTTGTAAATGCAGTATTGTTATCCTGGGATTACTAGTTTAGAATGTATGTCTCCTGAGCTAGTTTAACACAACTAAGATGTAAACCTGTTAATGTTTGGGAACTAGTTGTAAGAAAAACAGAACCACTTTGGGGGGCCTTCTAATCTCTGGGATAAGAATTCCTGAGCCCTGGTTAAAATCCCCTAGATTTAAAAGACCCTGACTTTGGGAAACTCAATTTACTGAATACTTGTTTTAGCGCGCCACCTAATGGTCATACTTGGAACTGCTGTCAGAGTTATTAGTAATAGATTTTCTATAGCATTTTAAGTTTACTTTCAGTAGCCCCAGAGCTCAGACTTGCCCGTGCATAACAAAAGCCACTAAGTTTAGAGACCCCACTTCTTCCAGCGCTGAATTATATGGAAGGCCCTTGAGTGACACTGAGTCACTCTTTTCTTATTCTAGATCAGAACCCAAAGATAAGGTCAGTGCTGGCGACAAAAGTGGTCCATTCGAGAAACAGTGGGTACAGAGTCCAGACTTGTGCAAATAAATAAGCAAAAGTCTTATTTGCATTAATGTGTTTGAGTCTCTTCCTAAGTTTGATGTCTTCTAGCTTAGCTTCCCTGTTACTTTTATTAGAAGTTTCAAGTATAGAATTAATACATTTAAAAATAGGCACACAGGTATGTATAAATCTGCCCCCACCTCTCCCAAGAATTCCTTGTTAAAGGTTAGGGTGTGTCTTTTTTTTTTTTTTTTTTTTACATGTCCTTGTTTCATAGCCTTTGACTATCACTGAAAGTATAATCAGTCATTTTAGAAACTGCAAGATTGAGAGCAAAGTACTATTAAACATGTGAGTGGACAGTGAGTGCGGTTCTGTTCACAGTGACATTTGAATTTTGCACAGACCTTTTATTGCCAAGTGATGCTTTATTTAGTTAGGAGTTTTAAAATGAGGTATTCTAAATTCTGTAATATCATTACTTGTTTATTAGCTGAAATCCTTGTGAATGAGAAGTATCCCTTCAACAGTGATTGAGTTACTCTTCGAGGTACAGTTCTGAATAAACGACCCTTACAATTATTTTTTAATAAAAATGAATCCAGTTTTGTTAGGAGGGATGCTTTATGCTAGATGAATTTTCCTCTTAAGATTACAAGTGTTTCAAAGCACTAATTTCCTTAAATTTAGATAAAACATAAAAACTAACAAAGTAATTTCACCAGTGTCTTAAAATGATCTTAAAATGACACAAACTATAGCAAGTTAATGTGTCAGTCATTTCTAAATGGGTTCAGTAGTTACTGCTGTAGACATTTGGAAAAGTCAAATGTACTGTACATTGAAGGGCTTTATGAGCTAAATGATGAAGTTAGGATTTAAACCAAAATGAGCTCCAGACCCCATCATCTTTAATTCCACTGTGCTGCTTCTACTGGTAGTAAAGGATTCCAGGTAAGGCAAGGCAAGAGATGATAGGAAACTATTGGGATGGTGCGATTTTCAAGTGACAAGGTCCTGTATGAGATCTCAGATAGGATGAAAGCAGCCATTACTTTTTAAACTGAATTTAGTCAGTTTTTTAAGGGTGTGTGTGTTGGGGAGGGGGTAGTGTTGACCACTAAGGCTAAATATTCTAGAAAAGAGGCAAGTACTTGACATTGTTCCAGAGATCAGAATCAACAAATTTAGTGCTGTGTACATAGTATTATAGATTCAAAAATTGTGTGCATATTCAGATAAACAACTTGCAGGGCAAAAAGAGTTTTTCTTTTTTTTGGATTTTATTATTTTTAATCTCATTTAATTTCCCCAAAACCTTGAAGGTAAATCTTTTAGGAAGTAGACAAAAGAGGTGACCTCTGCATTTTGCATGTAAAAAACGGCCTCCCCCCATCTGCTTCCCCACTGCGAGGGTCAAGTACTGATCTGCTTGAGTTTCAAGATCAGAACTCTTCCACTACACTCCTGAGAATATGAGTGCTTCTATTTAGAAGGATTTGCAGCAAGATACTCTCTAGTGGAGTGGATGAATCTGTAAGAGTAAATTAAATCTAAAAAGCTTGGGGGAGGATGACCGGCCATGGGTCGAGGCTGCTGAATCATCTGACCTCATTGATATAAGCATGCGATCTTACATCTTTTGTGTATGGTCCGCTCTGGGGCCCTGGGCAGCAATTCTTAGCACCATATCCATCTGTACAGCTGCTAGGCTGGGAACTGGTTAATAATAGATCCCAAGACACAAAAGGGGTTTTCATCCTTCATTATGAAATCATCCATTTTTCACTGGCTATGGGGTTTGTTCTTACTGGGATACAGAAGAGGGTGGTAGCACCATTGATTTGAGCAGCCTGGTTTCAAATTGTGTTCTCAGATTATAATACGTCCTGTGATGTAGGAAAATATAATTTTGAAGTCAGGGCCTTATGTGGAGTTAATGATGATATTCACGTGTTGTCATGAGACCCAGGACAGTCTTTCTTCAGCACAGCAGTGAAGCACAAGAACTACACAATATTACTTTTATAATTGTGCACGAAGATATCTTAGTTTAACCCATAGAGCGTGGACACCACTAACGACAGGATTGCTATCAGGGAGGTGGGGATGGGGAGTTTAAATACTGAAATACAGGAAGTAATCTAAACAGGAGTTTTTACACCTTTTTCAGGTGGAGCTCAATCTAGAACTTCACCTTCCCACCCAAACAAAAGTGACATACAAAGACCTCACTTTTAACCAAAGTGCTGAACATTTAAACCAAATTTGGATAAGAAGGGCCTGAGGCAAGTTGTCCATCCTCGTTGGGGAACAGATCCCACCAGTTGTTCAGCACGGTCACAAAAAAAAAAAAAAAATCTGATTGGTTCACACGTTGACACGCTGAACTTGATGGTGTGAAAACAGACGTACTGGAAAGGAAACGTTTTCCCAATAATTGTTACGTGAAATTATGGGTACTGTATAGTATGCATATTACGATCCATTTAAAAAGAGTTTGGAGGGATAAAAACAAAGATAGTCGTGATAACTGTTTCTAGGTTGTCTTTTTGCCTGCCTTATTTTTCCCTGATTTTTCTTTTATGACATAAGATGGAAAGGAAAGTTTTTTTTTTTTTCAACATTCATATATAATGTGAACTTCTGTTGAGCTGCACAGTAATCTTATTAAACAAGCTTGGCCTCTCAAGAGGGCCGTACCTATTGTTCCAGAAACATCAGGGTTTATGTTTTTGAGTTAGAAATGCCAGTTGGCTCTCCTCTGGTTATGACCATGGAGTCTGGTCTTAATTATACCAAATGGCATTTTCATAGGTAAGGAAAACAAATTCCAGCCATTCTGGGGGCAAGGGAGAGGAAAGACCAGAGAAGTGGGGTGAGGAAATTTTTTTTTTTTCAACAGTTTATATTGAAAGTAACCTCAGGATTTAGACAGACACCTTGTTTTGTTTTCCAGGCTAAACACCAGAGCACCCTAGAAAGCATAACTAAAAGAATGCTCATGTTTGACCCAGTTCCTGTCAAGCAAGAGGCCATGGACCCTGTCTCGGTGGTAAGTTTTCCGAAACTAAACACCTCTTGTTTATTCCAAGTGGTAATAACTTTACTGTGTGTTGTGTTATTCCTTAAAAGTACTCCTTACCCGATAGGCATTTGATAGGCAAACTTGTAAACAGGATCCATGTTTTCTTAAACGCTATGCCCCAGTCCCCCACCACCCTCAGGATGTCATCAGCACAGAACTTGAGCCACAGGTACATCTGCTCACAACAGAAATAGTTTCTCAGAAACCCCTTAGTTGTCAGTTTTTTAGTCTGAGCTCTCGAGATTATTGATTTTGGCCAAAAGAGAAAAAAAATGGCCAGACTAGTTTTTAAAAATTAATGTGCATATGGAATGTTTAAAAAAAAAATAAAATTGTACACAATGTTTATCATGAATAGGAAGCAGTTTCCACATGTACCTACAAGAAATCTTCATCAAGAGTGAGTTTACTTAGAGGTATTTTTCACTCAAGATGACCACCCAGACTATATAGAGGAGTTTCTTAAACATGTTTGTGAATGTCAATCTTTTTTTTTTTTTGATTGGAAGCAAAAAAAAAAAAGGACTCCATTTTGCTTCACGTAGTGCTTAGGATGTCCTTCACAAAAATCATTAAAAAGATGAAAATTGGGAGAAGAAAATCCTTGATCATTTTGCATGTAAAAATATATTAAGAATAAAATGATTTGCTTAAACTCCAAGCAGGCAGCCTTGTGGAGCTGTGACTTGGGAGAAGCTAGGGAAAGAACTTGACCCTGAGGATGGAATTTTGTTTCACTCAGAGTCTGTGGTGGCTGGGAGGCAATTACATTCATCGTCTCTTTCAACACTTCAGTGCTAAACGGGCCCGGTCTTCATGCCTGTCGACCACCAAGGAAGGAGCAGTGAGTCCAGTTGTTTATAGGCTGCAGCACCAGCTCTCTGGAGGTGGGACAGGGCTGACAACAGAAAGGCGTCCGACTGCAGAGCCGGGAGTGCTTGAGACTTGAGGGGCTCTGGTTTAGTGAACGTGAGATAACACGGCCACGCTCCCAGCTCTGTCTCTCTTTTCTTCCTCGGGCTTGGAAAATACTCACAAGGGGGAAAACTTGGCCTGAGTTGTGGCTCTGAAGGTTGGTAATGACACGCTTGCAAAAATTAGATCATCCTTATGCGCTGGTTATGGAGTTCCTGCCAAAACTGTTTATACGAGACACGGGGGTCACTCCAAGGCCCTTGGAACTGAGTTGCCATGGAGATTTCTGCGCCAGTGTTTACCACTCCGTCCGGTGAGAAGTCAAGTCAGAGTGGCTTTAAGGAAACAGCATTTACATTCTTGCCTGACAACTGTACAACCGCATGATAATAAAAGAGAGTAAGAATTTTATTAATCAAAAAGCTAAATGGGCCTCTAATGTTACTCATTTTGTCATCAACCCCTTCCCCCAACTATTGCATGATCATACTGGAGGAATATTAAGGTATAAAATGCCCTCATTAATTGTATCCTTGAAATATGAATAGGGTTTTAGTACCAGAGACTATGATTAATTTGGTAAATGATGTAGGCCCATCAGTGATGCATTTTACTATCCAGTATACTTTCAGAGCTTTTAATCAAGCATGAGAATGTGTCACAAGAGCCTAATTTAAAGCTAAAATGAACTTCACCATACAAGGAAATGCACTTAGCTGAAAAAAACTGGAAATAAAATGAATTTGTTGTAATAGTTATAATGCTGTAACATATTACTGCATGGAGTTAAAATATGTGGAAGTATTTTTGCAATTAATGGTCTTTTTCTTCTTCATGCTCTAGTTTTCAAGTTCTGCTGATGCTTATAGAATTTAATTATATTGTTTCACCTAAAGAGAGTTCCAGTCCTTACAATGAAGTTTCTTTGTTTCCACCCTTAAATCTTCAAATTTTATTTTTCCTACCTTCATAGGTGAAGTATATGAAATCTGATTTATCATTCCTTTATTCCTTTTCTCTTTTTCATTCTGCCTTTGAGCTAAAGGTTGAGGTCTTTGTTTATTCAGGTCAGTGTTCTAAACATGAAGCAGTAACATGTAAGATTGGTTTTTGCTTCAATTCCACATATGAATAAAAATATTTTACTGTGATTTATTCCCCTCTCTAAGCCCTTTTCCCTAAAAGTTAAGAAGAGTAAAAATAATCTGCCTAGTTGGTGTTTTGCTATAATTTAGAGAAAGTGAGGAAATGTCATTTTTCTCTTACTAAAGTATAAACCTTCATAATGCTCACTAAACTAAACCTTGTGCCTTGAGGCAGACTAGACTTTGGATTGTCGATCCCATTAAGATTTGCAAGAATGGGGAGCAGAGTACACCCCACCCCCCATTCTGTGCTGTAGATCTCTGCTACTTACTGTCAGTGTGTTGCTGGCAGAGCCATCAACAGCTCCCTGAGTCTCCATTTTTTTTTTTCTTATTTATAAAATTGGAGATACTTACATGTAAAACATGAAATGGCAGGTGTATATAAAATGTAAAGGAGTTGTTTTTATCAATACTGCCAAAGAAGGTTGAAAACTAGAATTTAATTCAGGAAATGAGAAAAGAAAAATTTTAAAAAGTATTCCTTCATATTCTTCTGTTCCTAAAGGAAGATTACCTCTGAAGAAAGTGTATTTTTTTCTTTAATGAAAATTATCATCTAACAGACTCCTTACAGATTAAGAAGTACTTAAAATCAGTAGTCCCTCTGCTGTGTTCTAACAGAAACTTTTCATGACTTTTCTGAGCCTGGTAGAAAGAGAGCTTTCTACTTTTGTTTGCACAGAGGGGCATGACATTTGCTGTTTCCAAAGAGTTTGTTTATAAATGCACCGCGCCTTCTTGCACTTGGAACTCCACCCTTGGTATGAAGATTCCTTTGACTTGCCACCGCCCTGTCACGGACGGTCGACGGTCGCAGTTTTTTTTTCATATTAATGAATAGTGAAACAGACTCACCCACGTTTCATGCAGTCACTCTGTCCACTTAAACCATCTTGTAATGGAAAACTTCACCAAAACTATTTCCAATAAAATGAGAAACTATTCATTCTCACTTTCATAGGAAGTGATAGCATTGGAAAATTATCCAAACCCTGTGCCTTTTTCCTCATCACACTTAAAAAAAATTTTTTTTTTTTTTGAGAATCAAAAAATTGTTATGCTGAGCCTGGTCAGTGGTAAAAACTTGCTCAGAGAGCATGCTGATTCATGTCATCCGTTCATCCAGTGTTCTCTGAGCACTTGGGCTGGACCATCATCTCCCACTCCATTGACAAGAAGCCACCAGCAAGCAAATAAGCCACGGCACGGAGGTGTGAACACTTGAATGCATGTTGCCACAGAGGGAAAGAACCCTTCTTAATAACAGACCTTTGGGGAAAGGCCCTTACTGGGGGTCAGGAGTGGAGGAGACCTCTGCTTGAGCCAGTAGGGCCGTGGATGCCCAGCAGTGGCCAGAGGTCCTCTTTCTACTTCATCACTACTTGGGGCTGATGTGGATTTTGCTGGTGCAGCCACACTTATTTGCATTGCTTCATTAGAACACAGGAATGCTCTGGAACAGAGAGGAAGCAACTATTACCAGTGTGTATCCACCCAAGGCACACACCCCATGCAAGCCCTGTGTCAGCCCTTACGCTGTGGAGAACCAGATTGTTGCAAGCTGATTGCAGTGGCTTATGTGCTCCACCCAAATGATTAAAGTAAACATGCCTCATAGAAGGTTCTGGTAAACATTGCTGTGAAGTTTGCTAGTGAGACAGTTTGAAGAACCACATTTCTTCACCCTCAGGCGAAGCAGTCAGACCAGAAATAGTTAACACTGGACTCAGTTGTATGCCCAGGTCAATGAAAACAGTCCCCCTGCTTTTAGCCCTGGAGCCTTCCAAAGACCACATGTCCAGTGTGGGGGACAGGGGCCATTCATGGGAGGGAAGACTCTCAGCAAAACTGTGCATAATGTTTATAAAATTCAGCTCTGTGTGGCTGTTTCTTTATGGCTCGAGAAACCTGAGACTGTTATTAAATTTGCAAATCCCCCAGGTTCTAAATTCCTGCTTTCCTTAAACTCACCCCACAGATAGAAAAATCCAGCAATGACAGCAAGAAAAGTTTGTCCTCATCCTGCTTCCTATGTAGTTGCCAATAACTTGATATTAAAATCTAGGTCATAGGAATGTCTTTGAAGACTAGGGCTGAAAATAAGGGAGAAGCTACATTTCTGTGAGTAGAAACAATGAACACTGCCTCCCATTTCCTGGAGTTTTTGTTTCTTGTACCAGAACTTTTGCCCTTTAGAAAATTATATCAAGCTGGCTAAACTTTAGAACTAGGAGAAATCTTTTTTTCCTCCTGTAGTTAATTACTTCCTTAAGCCCTCATTGTACATAATGTGTAATTTCTGTTCGCAAACCTTGTGCCTCTTGCTTTTGTGTATTTTAATATTTCAATTAAATCTATTGCATATTAATATTATTGTATATTTTGAGCCTCTCACCTTGTGTTGCACCTCTGTGTGTCTCATTCTAAAGAAAGGTAGAAATAGCCTTTTCTTCATTTGATCTTTGATACATAATTCAAAACTATTTTTAAAAAACAACAATTTGTTTTGTGTTTCCTGATTTTATATCCCCATGACCTTGTTTTTAAGCAGTACTATTAGTGGAAATTCTCCCTCCCCACCTTTAAATTGCATTTAAATAATTTACCAAATGTTAGTAATAAAAATCAGTATTTTTATTCTGTATCTCATCATCTAGAGCCATGCTAGTCTAAGGCTGATCTATGGCACCTTCAGTCCCCAGTAACTCAGAATCTGCATTTTAACAAGATTCCCAGGTGAATCTGTGTGCTTAGTAAAGTCTGAAGAACACCTCATAATATCAAAGCCCACTGAAGGCATAACACCTGTGACATACAGCAGGAAGAAAAGACTCCTGGGACCACAGTGTGTGTTAAGTTCATCTCATGGGCATCTCATTGGGTGCAATTCTAATCTTAGTGTCACAGCCTCCTAGAAGATGAGTACCTAGCACCACCTTGACAAGTTTTGACATATCCTCATGACACTTGCATGTCTAATATTTATTTAGTAATTTCTCTTGCCTTCTTTTATAGAACTGCTTTTGAACATAATAAAGTTACTTTGAAAGTGCAGGAATGGGATTTTAAAGCAGCACTGATGAGTTGGATGCATAGCCAGGTGGAGATTCACCCAGTGAGGCCCAGAGAGGAAAGGGTGTGATCTCAGTAGCAATCCCAGTCAAAACCACTGCTGTCCCACAGTTATTAATAACTATATTAATGGCCACTGAAGGGGCCGGGGAGGTTCAGAAACTAATAGTGCATTTAAGCTGTTTAATTACAAGTTCCCATTAGTGGGTTTTCTTGGTTGCATTGTGAGCTAGTGTTGCTTCAGAATCACAAATGCATTGAATTTTAGGGCTGGAAGAGAGGCACAGTGTGTTATTTTTCACCCTTACTATAAAACATTCAAATATAAGTAATCCTCTGCAGTTAGACTTGACATGTTACCACTGAAAATATGTTCCCCTAAAATGCATGCAAGTAAAGGGTTTATGTTGAGTTTAATTTTTTTTTTAAAACATTCTAAAACAGACTTTAAATTTTACTTAAGGAGTAGAAGTAATTTTAATGAATTCCATGGCCAAGGACAGTACCCATAGTGTGCAATTACGATTGATTTATATTTCAACCTGGTAAATGAGAGTTACATTATCTTGAATATAAGAAAGGAATACGTTATCTTGAATATAAGAAAGGAATGTATTTGAAGACAAGTCAGTTATGAACAGATCTTAGATTTCGCAGGGGACTATTTATCTCACCTCCAGTATCTTGTTAGGCTGTCCCCCAGTCTCTTGATGACGGAGTAGCAAGGTGGAAAGGAGAGAAGGCAAAGCCTCAGCTTGTATGCAGGTCCCTTCCAAGATCACGTGTCCTTATTTAAGTCCTGTTATATTTGCTTTTATAGTTCTGTGTCATCCCCAGATTTGGAGATTAAATCATCTTCTACAGTATCTTAAATTGTGAATAAATCTGTTGAACAAGTTGGGGCCAAGGACATAATCGCCTTTGTGTGGGTGGCCTTCTGTATATAAGTGTGTGGGGTGACTAGCCATCCTGAGTTGCATGATACTGAGGCATTTCCTCAGATGTCGGACATTTAGCACTAAAGCCAGGATTCGTGGTCACCTTAGCATGGATTGGTCAGTGGCTGGAGAGCATGCCAAGGCATACCACGTGGCTGGGTTTGTCCATGTTATCCACAAGCATGGGAACTGTTCTGTGCCTTTATGCTCAGGTGGAGGACACTAAAGCCAAGGAGGGTATTTCCTGCCAATTAAGAAGCCCCATCAGAAAACAATAAGGTTCCTTGGCTTGGCTGGTTCTTGGTGAACTCCAACTCCTAATGATAAAGGCCCATAAGCCTTTTGTAACCTGTTTGAGAATTTTTCCAGGCGTCATCATCAATCTTAACATTGGATACGGCCATCACTGTAGAATTAAACTTGAGATTTTTTGTGTGTGACGTGGTTACCACGTTAACTTTAGTGCCTACATTTATTAGACCAACTCTTTCATGGTATTTTTTTTTTTTAGTGTCAAGCATATATCTAAATCCAAACCATTTATGAAAGTCCATGTAACTGAATGTGCCTTGTTGTGTATTTTCATCTTCTGTTTCAAGCAAACACCTGTCCGTTGACACGTTTCTGTCTCCTAATAGTCATACCCGTCTAATTACATGGAGTCGATGAAGCCCAACAAGTACGGCGTCATCTACTCCACGCCGTTGTCGGATAAGTTCTTCCAGACGCCGGAAGGCCTGTCTCACGGGATGCAGATGGAGCCGGTGGACCTCACGGTCAACAAGCGGAGCTCACCGCCCTCCGCCGGGAGCTCGCCGTCCTCCCTGAAGTTCCCGCCCTCGCACCGGCGAGCCTCGCCCGGGCTGAGCCTGCCCTCGCCCAGCCCGCCCGGGAAGAAGTACTCGCCGCCGCCGCCCGGCGTGCAGCCCTTCGGCGTGCCGCTGTCCATGCCGCCGGTGATGGCCGCGGCCCTGTCCCGCCACGGCATCCGGAGCCCAGGCATCCTGCCCGTCATCCAGCCCGTCGTCGTGCAGCCCGTCCCCTTCATGTACACCAGCCACCTCCAGCAGCCGCTCATGGTCTCCTTGTCGGAGGAGATGGAAAATTCCAGTAGTGGCATGCAAGGTACCGTTCTGTTCTGCAGCTCACCCACACTGCTGCCGCCCCCGCCCTGTCCAGCCGCGTTAATCCGGACTTGTAGCGCTTCGCTGCCAGGTAGTCTGATTGAGGGAGCAGAGGAAGCAAGGGGCCAAGAGCTGCTGAACTCTGAAAAGGAAGCACTCGCCTGAGGCGTTTCGTTTTTCTAAGTGTTGATCCTGCAAGAGCTCCCAAGAATCAGACTGTTTAATGCCATGAAACGATTAGTTTCACTATGTGCTTGTCAACTTTGGGATAACAAGAATCTTGACTTTACATTTTGCTTTATTGAATGCCAGCATGGTTCTAGGTGCAAAAGGCTGGTAAGAACTATTTTTAGACCAGGGCTCCCCAGCCTCCAGGATCTAATGCCTGATGATCTGAGGTGGAGCTGACATAATCATAGAAATAAAGTGCATGATAAATGTAATGGGCTTGATTCGCCCCCACCCCATTCCATGGAAAAACTGTCTTCCACAAAACCAATCCCTAGTGCCACAAAGATTGGAGATGGATGCTTTAGACCATGTGATAACTAATGGCTATCAAAAGCCAGCTTGTTTACTGGTCAGAGGCTGCAGGTTGTTGTAAAAGGAGATAACCAAAAGTCATAAGGAAGAAATCCCCTGGGGGCTATGTCTTAAGAGTCCAACTTCCTACATAGTGTTTGCTAACAAAGTAAGAATTCCACCCCCAGGTTTATTTCTGCTGTCATTTTGCCAAAGGTAGATACTCACACATCAGTGTGGTAGCTAGAAGCTGTGGGATAAGCTTTTAAAGGCTGGACACTGGTAAAGTGTACATAGAGTAACTTTTCTATTTTTATTTTTTAGTACCTGTAATTGAATCATATGAGAAGCCTATATTGCAGAAAAAAATTAAAATAGAACCTGGGATCGAACCACAGAGGACAGATTATTATCCCGAAGAAATGTCACCCCCTTTAATGAACTCAGTGTCCCCCCCGCAAGCATTGTTGCAAGAGTAAGTATACTGAGGTCTGCCCGGCAGTTGCATAGCAGCGTGCATCTCAGAACTGGAATGGAAGCCCGAGCTTCCAATGAGGGATGTCTTGTGGATTGCTAGGACCGCCTGGTGGTTCGGGGCAGCCCCTGGGCCAGATGGACTCTCCACAATCACTGTGCTCTGTTACTCTCCTTGGGTCACTTTTCAGTGAGTCAGTCACCCTTCATTTTGCCACTTTACCCCGTAAATCATTTTTATCCTGCTTTTTTCTGTCCTTCCAGGCTATGTGTATATAGTCCTCCCATCATCTTTGTCCCAATGTGGATTGAATTTGGTGTTCTAGATATCCCACTTAAGATTGGATCCTGAAAACTCTATGGGATCACTCATCATCCTTCCTGTTGTCGGTTCTCATAAAGCACAGTGTTTCTGTGATGGGGTATGGCTTTGATCAGAATTTTCAGGCCAACCGCAAAAGCCCAGGAAAGATTCTCCGAAACCAGTCCTATGGCAACAGAAAGCTGACGATATTGCTCAGAGAAGCTTGGCTTTGAAAGAGCTCTTTCTTCTCCAGTCTTTTTCATTGTGTGTGTCCTAGAATGTTCGGTCTGCTTTAGAAATGCCATCCAGTAGAAAGTTTACACTATATCCATCAGCATCCGGGCACCTGAAGAGTGGTTTAACTTGCTGTCATATGAGGGTGTCACACACAGGCTAAATAACATCATTATTGTGGTTTGCACTATCCTTGACTTCTCCCAAGGTTTACCTTGGGGGCTGTGCTTGCAGTAGGTACAGACATCGTCTTTGGCCCAACATCTTTGAGCCCACCTCTGCTCTCCACCACATGTGTGACCTTGGCCTAGCCACTTGCTCTTTTGCCCTGCTTCCTCTTTATTTACATTATTGGTTTTAATTATTTTTCTTATACTATGGTCCTTTCAACATTGGTTTAAGGACCAGCTGTCTAGTACAGAGGAAGTATGACAGTTATTGTCTCCTCAGACTCCCTTCTATCACTTTCCTCCCCACATCACTTTTTCTCCAGCTTTTCTGCCCCCCTTTCTGCCCTATCTTCTGCGTTCTTCTCTCCCTTACACAAAAAATTCTGTAACAGAATATGAATTCTCTGGTTTTAGAACAGCTATTTTATGGAACTTCAAATAAATTCTGGTTGTATCTACATTCAGCCCAAGTAGGTGCATTCATAATAGCTCATGGGTTAATTATCATTTAAACCAAATCAGGTTTTTTGGGGGGGAAGGGAGGGGGAGTTCATCCACTCCCTGAAACATGAGAAGAGAATGAATCTGCCCCAGCCACACCAGTAGGGAGCCTGATGGTCTTTTCATTGTTACCCTTCACAATTGCATAGCACTCCTTTCCCACAAAATTAAAAAAAAAAAAAAAGGAACTTTTCCAAGTGTTTTCAAAGGAGTTATTTCATTCTCCCTAAACAAGCATGTGGGAGTCAGAGCAAATAGAGAACTGGTGAGCCAAGACATATGTGAGTCAATCACACCATTAACAAGAGCAGAGGGGACCTGGGCTGATCTCCTTCCAGATGTGTGCTCCTCCTGCCACTTTTAGATCATGTCTAGCAAATTACATCTGCTCCTGTACCTGACTGAAAGGAAAAACAGGCCAGCCAAAATGGGGGGCTTCCCTGATGGCTCAGTGGTAAAGAATCCACCGGCGATGTAGTAGACACAGGTTGGATCCCTGAGTCAGGAAGATCCCCTGGAGGAGGAAGTAGCACCCCACTTCTCTGGCCTGAAAGTCCCATGGACAGAGGAGCCTGGTGGGCTACAATTTATGGGGTTACAAAGAGTCAGACACAACCTAGTGACTAAACAACAAACCAAAATGGACACAGCTGAATTGCCCCTTTTTTTAGAATGGCAGATGTCTCTACAAAGTAACTGGTACTGTGGCTTAGCACTTGTAATTGTTCCTGAACAGATGATAAAAAAGATGCTCTAAAGCCAGCTACTCACAAAGGGAGGGATCCATTGATCCCTATACCTATAAGGGGTATTCCAAAGTCGAGGTTATTGTGAATTACAATGTAACACATTTCAGAAGAAGAATATTTGAAGGCAATATTCTGTTCTCTGAATGCTCCTGAAAAGAAAACATCTCTTATTTTAAGTATGTTCTTTTGATGATCTTACATTCAGTGGCTTTTAATGATTAATGAGTAATGTGCTTCTTCTAATGCTGATCTAAGAATGCATTTTGCCTCTCAGAAAATTGAACAGAGTAGCCACAACTGGAACATGTACTTTTTAAGTAATTCTCTCACAGATGTGATTAAGTAATGTCTTGGAGTATGCCCAGTAGCAGCCCACATAGGAAACCAGCTAGCCAGGAAAGAATCACTGGAAACCAAATACCTGGTACCATTTCAATGAGGCAGCCCCAATGATATTTGCTTTAGGAAGCCATTCCTTTTCAGGGGAGGACTCCAGCTTTGAAATCCATTTTGCTTAATCATAAAGTTGTAGCTTTAGAATTATTTATAAAGTCACTCAGATTCCTTTTGTTATTTATCTATATGTATGAAAGTGTATTTAGAACAAAATCTTGTAGATCAGATTTCCCCATTGAGTTGTACACATGAAATTGTAGCTAACCGAACAGGGATCAGCTTGGACTTCCCTGATGGTCCAGTGGTTAAGAATCTGCCTGCCAATGCAGGGGACACAGGTTCAGTCCCTGGTCCAGGAAGATTCCACATGCTTCATGGCAGCTAAGCCTGTGGGCCATAACTACTGAGCCCGTGAACCCTAGAGCCCGTGCTCCACAATAAGAAAAACCACCTCAACGAGAAGCTCTTGCACCACAACGAGACAGCAGCCCCCGTTCTGCTGTGACTAGAGAAAGCGTGTGAGCAGAATGAAGACCCAGTGCAGCCATAAAAAAGAGGGATCAGCTTAATTCAAAACAATGACAGGTCTCTGGTATTTACTAGGTATTCTAACTTCTTACTTAGAAAGATCTCAAAACAGCCTCCTTAAAAATAAGCCATGAAGAGAGCAAGAAGAGTGAATGAAATCCCAAGATCCTGAGCCTCAACCTATACCAATGTCTGGCCCCTTTCAAGATGGACTGCTGACCCCTCTCAGAGTATTACTGCCTTCCGATGCTGCCAGCATCTCTTTATCCTGGAGTAGATTCATGATCTGGTGTTAGGACATGCCCCCCCAAAATTCCTCAAGACTAGACAACTGTAAGGACGAAGTTTGCAAGTGGATTTCTGAACCCTGAAATATCAACAGCTGCCGTTGAGCAGATTTTTCATCTGGACCAAATGTTAAGTGCTTTGTGTGCATCACACAGCAACCTTCTGAGATCCTATTCAGTTCAGTCGCTCAGTCGTGTCCGACTCTTTGCGACCCCATGAACCACAGCATGCCAGGCCTCCATGTCCATCACCCGGAGTCCACCCAAACCCATATCTGTTGAGTCAGTGATGCCATCCAACCATCTCATCTTCTGTTGTCCCCTTCTCCTGCCCTCAATCCCTCCCACCATCAGGGTCTTTTCCAGTGAGTCAGCTCTTCGCATCAGGTGGCCAGCGTGTTGGAGTTTCAGCTTCAGCATCAGTCCTTCCAATGAACACCCAGGACTGATCTCCTTTAGGATGGACTGGTTGGATCTCTTTGCAGTCCAAGGGACTCTCAAGTGTCTTCTCCAATGCCGCAGTTCAAAAGCATCAATTCTTCCGCTCTCAGCTTTCTTTATAGTCCAGCTCTCACATCCATACATGACCACTGGAAAAACCATAACCTTGATTAGAAGGACCTTTGTTGCAGAGTAATATCTCTGCTTTTTAATATGCTCTCTAGATTGGTCATAATTTTCCTTCCAAGGAGTAAGCGTCTTTTAATTTCATGGCTGCAATCACCATCTGCAGTGATTTTAGAGCCCAGAAAAAAATAAAGTCAGCTACTGTTTCCACTGTTTCCGCATCTATTTCCCATGAAGTTATGGGACCGGATGCCATGATCTTAGTTTTCTGAATGAGTTCCTATTAATATACCCATTTTACAGAGAGGAAACTGAGGCATGGAGAGTGTAACTACCTTGCCAGGGGTCACAGGGACCATCAGTGGTAGGGCTGGGATTTAGAGCTGAAGCTCACCGCCTTTTAGGGTCCCTTAAAGTGAGTAACTGAAGCAATGATCATCATTAATACCCAGAAACTATTAGATTCCCAACCTTTAAAATCTTAATAACTGGGAGAGACTTCTGAACTCATCTGGGATTCTCTCCCAGTGTCCCAGAAGCACATAAGATACACTTAACTGTTCATTTTTTCTCCTTCAGCACTTTGTTTCCTGAAGTTCTTTTAAGATGAAAATTTTCAATCAGTGACATTAAAGTTGAAATTTTAAAGTAAACTGATAAGCTTTTCTTTTTATTGAAGGATCTTCATAATGGGCTTTTATTAAAAAAAACACACACACTCCATCCATAAATCTCTTCACTTACCTACTTTCCCTGTTACTTTTACGTTTATATAACTGAAGTCCTTGTTCCCTGCACCATCCCTACCCCCCACTAGTTCGTGTTCCCTTTTGCATGTATCTAAACTGGCTAAACTTCATTCTTCCATATAGTCCCTCTAAGTATCAGGGTAGGAAGGTAACCTGATACTCAAAACTGACAGTTTAAAAAAAAAGAGGGAAATAAACACAGTTTTCTTTGCTCATAATTGAGAAGTAAGGTCACTCAAGGTAAAATGTACCTTCTTATTCTCTTCCTAGTCACTTCTTCAGGTGCCTGAAAAAGTTGTTGATAAAAGATGTATTTATCAATATATTTTTCTCAAGATAAATAAGTTTTATTTCAGGAACTAAGTATTTATTTTCCTTTCCACCAGTCTTTCCCCCATTCCCCCCCCCACCCTGCATATGTTCTTGTATAACATTTTAAGAAATTTAGATTCAGATTGAAAAGAAACAGGAGTCTTTTCGTCACAGAGACCAACTACATAAGCTTGTAATGTATCAAGTAATTAGTCATTAGGGAAGCAAATGGACGGATTAGAACTTTTAATTACTTACATCAATCAGCAGGAGAAGCCTGAGAAAACTACAGATTTTTCCTGGCTCTTCCTCATCTGCTATTTCCACCAACTTCCTTTCTGAAAAAGAGGAAGTTCATAGTAATGACGTTCAGCAGGATTTGATCTCAACCCCTCCCGCACCCCTGAAAGGTGTGAAGGCCAGGAAAAGGCGGCTGTGGGAGAGGACCCGGGAAGGGAGGATGGCAGGCTCAGGGCCCCGGGTCCTGGGTGAGGCGCTCCCTCGCCTGACCACTAGCCCCGCTTCAGGTTCTCTCTCAGGGAGGACTAATAGTGACAGTAAAGGTCTGAGTTTGTTAAGACAGCATGCCAACTGTTCTTGTTTTGGGTTTTTTTTTTGAAGCTCAAAATCAAATGTAAGCCTCTTTAAGAGACTCAAACTAAATGCCAGTTGCATAGAGGATAAAATACAGATTCATCCTACAGCGTGGTTGCCTGAGGCTTAGGAGTTTGACCTTTTGGCTTTTCCCCGAAAGAACAGTACATGGAAACCTGAGCGGCCTGTGAGAAAACAGTACAGTGTTTAGCCTCCAACCACGAAATTCTGCAAAGCAAATTTCTGTTGAGGGAAAGGCTCTCCCAGCACTCCGCACCTCCCTCTAGCGTAGCTCCTAACCCTTCTTACTGTCATTACTTATCTACATGTCTGTCTCCCCCTAGAGTGTGAGCTCCTCCAGGGCAGGAACCCTGTTTTTATTCATCTTTGTGTCCCGGTGCCAAGCACAGTGCCTGGCTCATGGTAGGTGCTCACTCCATGTTTGTTGAATGAATATAGCAGTGCTTCTTGGGTTGATCAGCTAATTTCTTTCTGTTCATTTTGTTGGGTTTTCTGTTCGTTTGTTTCTGCCCAGTGTTGTTAATGCTTTTGGTAGCCTGAAGGCAAGGATCTTGCACCTCACCATCTTGCATTTGGCATTGGCTTTCCTAGGAATCACCCATCAGTCATCGTGCAGCCCGGAAAGAGACCTTTACCTGTGGAATCTCCAGACACACAACGGAAGCGGAGGATACACAGATGTGATTATGACGGGTGCAACAAAGTGTACACTAAGAGCTCTCACTTGAAAGCACACAGAAGAACACATACAGGTATTAAGAGACTCGCTTCATTTACCTTCTTAAGAAGTACTGGAAGGGAGTGTTAAATGTTCTGTCTTGGAGTGATTACTACAGTGAAATTTTTTCAGGCGTCTTAAAAGTTGCCCCGGTCAGCTCTCTGCAGTTGTGAAGAATGAAGTTGCTGCTGATGATTTGTTTTTCTAATAGCACATAGTCAGGGTTCGCTGCATAACAAGGTCTCTCACAACCACTTGCAGCTCTGCAGTCTCTCGTGAAGGCAGAGAAGGGCAGGACACCTCCACTGGGAACAGAGGGGAACGTGCCCTTAACCACAGGCCTGCGTCATCAAAGATGTGGCCTTCGTGGAGACTGCCATTTAATAAATGTTGTACATTAAAAAAACAGTTCTTCATGCAGAACACGTAAACGCAGCAGTGTATAGAAATGGAATTCAAATGGAAGTGGAAGTCATTGAAGGGAAGAAAAGTAAAGAGATATTGGTAATTATCATCTTGTAAAAGTGAGGGCGCTTGTATGCCATCGCCTGCCATATTTATTCTAGGGTATTTTCCAGCTTGCCAGGTGTTGTATATAGAGCAGGCAGGCAGATCTTATAAAAACTGTCAAATGGGTGAAGAAAACATAAAGTTGTCCCCTGGGCTCCGGAAGAAAACATCTTAAGGAATTCGTACAAAAGTATTTTAAACAAACCTGAGTAACTGCAGTTGGTAGTGGTGACTAATGTTTATGGGAGGCCTCATCTGGCGTGGCCTAAAGTCTTCCCTGTGAAATTCTAGCATAATAGTCATTTGCCTCTCTGTACATTTCCTTAACTCAGAATGTAGGGGTTTGGGAGCCTTGTGAGTCATTCTTGTTAGGAATATTTACAAAGAGAACAATTTGGGATTCGGAAGAGGAAAGGAACTGAAGTGTCTGGCAGAGTGGAAGTGAAGTTTTTTAGCACATCCTGCAGAGGCGGCGGAGGAATCCATCCCGCACACAACTGTCCTGTGGCTTCCTGGCAGCGTTGCCGTGGAGAGCGCTGAGGGCCACAGCCTTGCCGTTAGGGGATCGCCCACTGGGCAGTGCCAAGCAGATTCAGGAATGCCTCCCCAGGGGCATGAATGGGACCTGAGAGGTGGATGTTAGCACATGCCTGCATAAGATTAAAAAGACATTGGGTATTTGGATAACAATTTAGATGTAGGAAAAACTACCTCTTACATGTATATTCTGTGCAATAAAGAAGGTAGTATAAATTCTGAGTATGTCTTTGAAGTGCCAAAAAATGACAGTCCTTTAAGGTTTCTGGAAAACTGAGGAGATAGTAAATGGAAATGAATCTGTGATGCCCATTACCCATTATTACTAGTTTAAACAGGCAAAATTGCCATTTAGCTGCCTGTTTATTAGTAAAAACCTTCATACTGACTGTCCTTGTGACTTCCCCACAAGTAAGTAAGTGAAAGGCGCTCAGTCGTCCAAATCTTTGCGACCCCATGGACTATACAGTCCATGGAATTCTCCAGGCCAGAATACTGGAGTGGGTAGCCGTTCCCTTCTCCAGGGGATCGTCTCGACCCAGGGATCAAACCCAGGTCTCACACATTGCAGGCGGATTCTTTACCAGTGAGCCTGTGACTCCCCAGCAGCGGTCTTCTTTTTCTCACCTGTGGATTCTCCTTGCCCAGGAGAGAGTTGCAGAAACCTGATGTCCCCTGGCAGGGTGGGGAGAAATTACTCTGTCTTCATTAAAGCATTATACTTAGGCTTTGATGGTGTTGACTAACCAAAATGCAAAATCCCTGATAAATATTTCAGTTCATAGGGACTAAGGGACTTTACATTTTTAGAAAACTACTGAATAAGAAAATCCCCACAAGACTTTTGATTTGGGCTTCTCATTGGATAATGCCTCTTGTAGCTAAGTTCCTAAGTAGGTTTACAACTTGAAGGTTAGCAAATACAGATCACTGTGTATTAAGAACAGGTTCGTCACTACTATTGAGGGCAAACCCAAAATTATTTGGTAGCCCCTTAGAGTGGATTTCAGTGCCATAAATATGCTTTAAGAACTCTTAAAACCCACCCTTCCCCCCTTTTGGGGAGCAGAAAGCCAATTACACATTAACACAGTTTCTTTTTCTTGTCTGTCCCCTAGTGGTTCATAGGGCAGTATTATTGAGGAACAAATGTATGATCATATATTGGAAATAATGTTTGTCAAGAGCTATTTTTCTTAACTTTTTATTTTATATTGGAGTATAGCCTGTTAAAATGGGCTTCCCTGGTGGCTCAGATGGTAAAGAATCTGTCTGCAATGCAGGAGGCCCTAGTTCAATCCCTGGGTTGAGAAGATCCCCAGGAGAAGGGAATGATTACCCACTCCAGTATTCTTACCTGGAGAATCCCAAGAACAGAGGAGCTTAGTGGGCTGTGGTCCATGGGGTCAGGAAGAGTCAGACACAACTGAATGACTAAGCTCATAGCCTGTTAACAGTGTTGTAATAGTTTCAGATAGACAGCAAAGAGACTGAGCCTTACGTATACACATATACATTCTCCCCCAAACTCCCTTCCTGTTGTCAAGAGCTTTAGCTCAAAAATATTTGCTGTCTTTAATTGTTAATATCGTTTTGCTATTAGAAAAAAAAAATAAGCTCCTTTCCCCCACCTCTCTGCAGGAGAAAAACCCTACAAATGTACGTGGGAAGGATGCACATGGAAATTTGCTCGGTCTGATGAACTCACAAGACATTTCCGAAAACACACTGGAATCAAACCTTTCCAGTGTCCAGACTGTGACCGCAGCTTCTCCCGCTCCGACCACCTTGCTCTTCACAGGAAACGCCACATGCTCGTGTGAACACCTCCACCGCCCGCCTCAGCGTGGCCCCCCACCCTCCAGCTCGCTCTCTATCCTCCTTCCCATCAGCTAACTCATTTTTTACATGTACATTTTAATTTCGATTCAGCTGGTCTGAATCTGAATTTATATCATTCAAACTTCCATATGGTCAGTAGTAAATATCCTCTAATCCTCCCTCTCCTTACCACGGGTCAGACCTAAAGAATGTGAACACTTTTTTTTTTTTCCGGGGATGCTAAGCAAACCCTTCTTAGAGATACGTTTAATGTAATGAAAACAAGGGAACATGTAAACTAACATAACCAATTGTCGGTTTCTCCATGTATTCCTCAAGAGAACATCAAAGTAAATGTATTACAAGTACAGTATCCAGCCTGCTAGTCCTTGCCAGAGACATCCAGACCTATGTGCCCTGTGATCATGTTTGGTGCTCCACAGCGAAAAGAAGGCTGTAAGCTTTCACAGATTAGCTAGACTTGCAGCCGGCTGTCGGGCTAGTACAGTCAGCTCTTCCTTTGTCCTTCACATATCTGGCTTGTCAACTTGGATTTGTCACTTCATCTAAATGTACATCCTTTAACCTCCTTTGTGCCTGCAGCTACTTGGGAGGGCTTTGCCACCACTGGGAGGGGAGCCAGAGCTGCTGATTTAGGTGGGTGATGTCTGTCAGTTGAGGGGATGGATGCTCTGTTTGCCTAGCATGGAGTTGGAGCAGAGGGGCATGGAACAGAAGCAGAGCAGGGTGGGCAGAGGAGGAAGACATCCATCCTGCTGGGCAAGGGCTTTCTGGGGAGACGTCATCATTTTGTAGCTGGGCAGAGCATTCCCAGAGTTTCAGCCTCTATGCATGTTCAGCTATGCAGAATCCTATTGCAAAGCCAGATACAGTGGGCTTCTCCATACACCTGTCTCCATTTCTGCAATGTCCTTCATGTGCATCACCAAGCATTGACCATAGGAATGCCACAAATATATCTGCCCAGACATGATAAAAAAAAAAAAGTCTTTCGGGTAAGGGTATGAATGGCCTTCTTTTACCCCACCTATTTAATAGCTTTTTTGCAAACCGGAAAACTTTGAGTGGTAATTGTATTCCCCTATCCAATTAATCATGGAAACTTCATACGGAAACTTTTCTGTTTGAGCTGCAGACTGCCTAATTGGCTGTCATCTGTGTTCAAAACACATATCATAAACAAGCATCTGCTAATGCTTTAGTAGATTCCTTCAATCTAAGACCTGAGTGACACTATTTGTAAATATAAATAGTTGTGAAGCACACATACTTTTCTTTGGGGGACAGATTTCTGAAAAATCTGGAAAACCACAGTTCAGGGATTCATAAATGTAGCTCAAATTCCCAAATGTTTACTGTGGGAGCTGGCAATCTCCTGTCATTATCACATATCCTATCAGAAAAGAACAAACTGAAAATGACTCGTGTTTATGTTGAAGATTAATAGCACCATTATTTTAGGGGAAGTTTTTCAAAAGCAGGCTTTTGAGCACCATAGTGTAAATGCCAATAAAAATAATCTACGCATAGAAATGCCATTGGTCCTAAATTTGAAGAAAGTGGGCGACGGTGGTCTAGTGTGGGTGCATGTAAGTAAATGCGCATTCATCCCTCGATAAAGGAAGGAGGAGCAGAGAGAAGAACGGAATCCTGAAGATTCGTCCCAGCCACAACTCAGGATCCAACACAACCGTAGCTGGGAGGAGTATACTGTTCAGTTGTTTTTAAAGCATCAGTGCATGAGTGATTCTGGAGGCCTGCGATCGTGTGGGGAGCTTACTTTGATGGCGCCGTGTTAATAAACGTGAGTTGTAGGGACTGCGCACCTAAGAGATCCCGCTTATCAGCCCTCGGATCCAACTGAAAGGAGATGTAGTTGAGAAATGCAGAGTAATTTGTATGTGGCACTTGGTTTTTATTTTCTTTATTTTTTTCTTAAGCACTGCAAAATTTGTTTAGAATATTAAACCATCCTTATGAGGCTTTTTTTTTTTTTTTTGCAACTATGTCATGAATTGAGGGATTTTAAAAAAAAATGGCTCTTGGAAAAGTAGGTATTGTCTATATTGTAGATGCTTAGTCACATTCATGCCAAAGTGTTTATAGCTTGAAATGGTTCTTCCACAACACGCCGAAGAATGGAGTGCAAATAACTTTTTTTTTTTAATGAGCTAACCAGTTTGTGTATGTTCTAACCCATCTTGAAGGTGGGAAAAGAGGCAAGAAAGGGTAGAAAATTGATCTTTGGATAATTAGCTTTGAGTCGAAGTCCAGCTGATAGAAAGCTTCATGGGTTCTCATGAAATTTAATTCGTGTTTGCTATAACATATTTAAATTTTTTTCAAAAAAGCAAGCAGGACTCTGCAAAGACTTACTACATTACTATTCAGCTTGCTTAGATATGGTAACATTAATAAGAATACACTTCAACTCTGAAAATAAAGCAACCCAGGAAGCTTTTTTCTGTTCCCATGCTGGCCTATATACTTCAGTTACCAATTGGCTGTTAACCAAATTTTCCTTCTTTATATATATTTGTATTTTAATATGATAGTTGAGAAATTTAGTATCTTAGTAATTTTTAGCTGTTATTGTGGAAGACCTCCAATACAAGATAAGGTACCCTTGAACGTGTGGTTTTAATGATATGCCATGTTACTATCAATGGTGATTTTAATTTTGAATATTTTAAATTGATGAGAATGATTTGTAAACATGAAGTTGGTGTTGTATAAATTCTGTTGGTTATAGAATTTCTTTGATGATTATCCAAGTGTCATCTTGGGGCAGAAGTCAGAAAAATTAAATCTGCAACCATCATTATTTTATTAGAGTTCTAAAATGTGAACCTACATCATAAATGGGCATTAACATTCTAAATCACCTGGTTTGGAGAATGTGTTAGCAGCATAGCTATGTTCAACTAAGGAAATGGCTAAATACCAGAAGTTTCAAGAGCCTTGGAACAGATTTACAGGGGAACTCTATATGTATGTGTATATTTTATTAAACACCCATCTGCACTATCAGTGTTGCACTAATGTGGAATTTGAAAAACTATATTGCTGATACTGTATATCTGCACATCATTCCTGATTAGATTGTTTAAAAGACAATCTCAAAGGTCTGAGGTTTTAAAATAATTTGGTTGGTTTGAAAATATACAGTCATCTTGAAGGAATCACTGTCATGCATGAAGTTGCTCAGAGTGGTCTTTATTCTCTTCTTGGTCAAGGTTAACAATTTCTAAATGATTGCAAATTCACTTAAATAATACATTTACAAAGCCATTTTACATGCATTAAACGAGGGCTGCAACAATATTATGTTTTACAAATACTAGCACTTTTTTTTTTGCTGTTATGTACTTAGTGTTAGAGGGTCAAAATAATCTTTCTGCTTAGCATCTCTTAAACCATACCTGCAAATATAGCAGGATTATTACATTTACAGTACTTTAATACTTGTATAAACTATGCAGAAATTTTTAATAAAGTGTAATATATTTTATAAGCTAATAAGACTGAATGGGTAAAGGTTTTTAGCATGCATTAGTATACTTGCAAATACTGAAACATTTTGGTAATCTTTCTTACTAAAGATGTGAATGTTTAATGTTCCTTCTCTGTTTCTACTCTGTAGTCCAATGGGAATTCAGTAATGACATTTTGTCATGTCAAACTGTGAACATAAATTTGTACTGTACAGTCCTCATATACTATATACAGTATGCAATATATGTATTATATACTTGTTAATAAAACCATCAGAATATTAAATGTGATCATGTGATTACTATATATACAGTGATCACTAGGAACAAAACTTACTAGCAAAACTTACTAGCTGAAAGCACATGAAAGAGACCCTTACTTACAAATTTCAAAGTAAATCATCTTTTAATAGGCAATCATTAATGGAGGGAAAGAAAAGCAGATCTAACTGGGGGATGCACTATATGAGTTAACCTTAAAGCTGCGTCCCTGGTCTTCTGATAAGAAATTTTCTAAGTACAAACCATAAACTTGTAGACAAGCCAGCATGAACCTACAAACTCACCTAGTGCATTCTTGGAATATTTTATTATGACCCTGCTGCTGCTGCAAAGTTGCTTTAGTCGTGTCTGTCTGTCCGACCCCACAGACGGCAGCCCACCAGGCTCCTTTGTCCCAGGGATTCCCCAGGCAAGAATACTGGAGTGGGTTGCCATTTCCTTCTCCCTATTATGACCCTAACTACCTCCAAAAAGAATTTTCCATTTCATGTGTGTAATAACTTTAAACTTTTTAATAAAAGATCAAAATTCATAACTTGAAAAAAAAACTCATAACTTGGACAGTGGGGAGTCAGGAATTACATCTGGATGAACTTGATTTCTTTAAACCTTCAATAACCCATGTCAGTGGACACTGCTGTGTCTTTGTCATTTAGAGTTTCTAAGACAAAATGTCTTGCCCTCTCAGAATCCCTAAATGTAACTGAAGCTGGCTTTTTACCTCTCTCAACAGCTTCCTCCAGCAGACTTCATCTTAGCATAACACAAAATAATGTCTGACTGGTGCTGGTCACAAGACAACTTCACCAGTTGGATGGCTGAAGGAAGATGGGGAGAGGCTGAATTCAGTCTTCGGGTACTCTCCATCAGCCTACTCCAGGGAACTTCTCTGCTTTTATATTGTGATAGTTGACTGCAAGCTCTAAAAGTATTTTATGTGTCTATTGCATTCTAATGGAATGTCACTTTGAATTAGTCCAAATGATTGGTTGCAGTCCTCCACTACATAGGGGTGAGATGATACTACCTGCTGAGTTGAAAAATGTGACCTAGTCATCTAAGAAAATACTTTGTTAAAGCTGGATTCTGCCTGAGTGAGTGATCAGAATGATGACAAATACAGGTTTTATGAGAAACCAAATTCCTTGAGGAATGGTTGAACAAATTAAGATGTTCAGCACACACAGACCAAATACATAACCATTGCCCAATATTTTACATGCTGTAAGGTTGAAGACCAGGAGCCGACTGTGGCTCAGATCGTGAACTCCTGATTGCCAAATTCAGACTTAAACTGAAGAAAGTAGGGAAAACCACTAGACCATTCCGGTATGACCTAAATCAAATCCCTATGACTATACAGTGGAAGTGAGAAATAGATTTAAGGGACTAGATCTGGTAGACAGAGAGCCTGATGAACTATGGACGGAGGTTCGTGACACTGTACAGGAGACAGGGATCAAGACCATCCCCATGGAAAAGATATGCAAAAAGGCAAAATGGTTGTCTCAGGAGGCATTACAAATAGCTGTGAAAAGAAGAGAAGCAAAAAGCTAAGGAGAAAAGGAAAGATATTCCCATTTGAATGCGCAGTTCCAAAGAATAGCCAGGAGAGATAAGAAAGCCTTCCTCAGTGATCAGTGCAAAGAAATAGAGGAAAACAACAGAATGGGAAAGACTAGAGATCTCTTCAAGAAAATTAGAGATATCAAGGGAACATTTCAGGCAAAGATGGGTTTGATAAAGGACTGAAATGGTATGGACCTAACAGAAGCAGAAGATATTAAGAAGAGGTGGCAAGAATACACAGAAGAACTGTACAAAAAAGATCTTCACGACCCAGATAATCAC